GAGAGAGAGGGAGCCCGGTGTATTATAGGGGGTCCTCCGGCAGACTAGGCCTAAGTCAGCCTAACTAGGGGCTGGTACAGGGCAAGCCTGAGCCAGCCCTAACTATAAGCTTTATCAAAGAGGAAAGTCTTAAGTCTAGTCTTAAATGTGGAGACAGTGTCTGCCTCCCGGACCGTAACAGGAAGTATGTATGACCCAGTATGTCTGGGTCTTGTTCACAGTGAGGGTAGAATGGAGTGTGGGATGGATCAGCAGTTTGGTGTGGTGTCTGCAGTGATGAAAGCAATGGACTGGATGAAGAGGGAGCTGAGCCAGAAGCCAAAGCTTTCCATTTCCTGGTCCATCTCCGTCCCAACCCTCACCTATGGTCATGAGCTGTGGGTAGTGACTGAAAGAATGAGGTCACAGATACAAGCGTCTGAAATGAGTTTCCTCTGTAGGGTGTCTGGGCTCAGCCTTAGAGATAGGGGGAGGAGTCAGACATCTGGAGGTAGCTCAGAGTAGAGCCGCTGCTCCTTCATGTTGAGGTGGTTCAACATCTGATCAGGATCCTCCTGGTCCAGCTGGTAGGAGGCCCCGGGGCAGACCCAGAACACACTGGGGGGATTATAGATCTCATCTGGCCTGGGAACACCTCAGGTACCTCCAGGAGGAGCTGGAAAGTGTTGCTGAGGAGAGGGACGTCTGGAGCACTTTGCTCAGCCTGCGGCCCCTGAGACCCGGCCCTGGATCAGAGGATGACAATAGACTGATGGTATTTCTTTAAAGAAAACATAGTTATTATATTATTTTCAGTTTCTGCCAGTAGACATCCATCTGAATGGACACACTGGACCTTTGACATGATGAAAGTTAAAATGTTTATAATGTTAATGATCAGTTTAACATTCAGTCTTTGTGTCGTCTGGTCAGCTCATCCTCTGCAGGTGGACCTGAGTTCTCACGTCTCTGCAGCAGAGCGGGGTTCATGTCTGCTCCTCACCTGTAGAGCCTTTGGATGTCCCCACCCTCCAACCCTCACCTGGAGGAGGACAGACCAGAACCAGACCATCCTCCAGAGGATGGACCAGAACCAGACTGTCCTCCAGAGGATGGACCAGAACCAGACCGTCCTCCAGAGAATGGACCAGAACCAGACCATTCTCCAGAGAACAGAACAGGACGGACTGTCCCTGCTCCGCGTGCAGGACCTAGACCTCCAGGATCAGGGAGGATACAGCTGTGAGGCCAAGTGTGGCTCCGTCATCAGAACTGGATCCATCCAGGTCCATGTCTACTGTGAGTCTGAGACACCTGAGACACCTGAGCTCATATCTTCATTGCATCATTAATGACATCATCATTTCATATGGTGGCTCAGAGAGAACTAATATCTGCAGTTAAATCTGAGCACCCATCAATTCAATTCAATTCAATTTTATTTATTAAGCCCAATATCACAAATCACAATTTGCCTCACAGGGCTTTACAGCATACGACATCCCTCTGTCCTTATGACCCTCACAGCTGATCAGGAAAAACTCCCCACAAAAAAACCCTTTAACGGGTGAAAAAACGGTAGAAATCTCAGGAAGAGCAAATGAGGAGGGATCCCTCTTCCAGGACGGACAGACGTGCAATAGATGTCGTACAGAACAGATCAACATAATAAATTAACAGTAATCCATATGACACAATGAGACAGAGAGAGAGAGAGAGAGAAGGAGAAGAAGAAGAGAGAGAGAGAGAGAAGGTGCCCGGTGTATTATAGGGGGGTCCTCCGGCAGACTAGGCCTAAGTCAGCCTAACTAGGGGCTGGTACAGGGCAAGCCTGAGCCAGCCCTAACTATAAGCTTTATCAAAGAGGAAAGTCTTAAGTCTAGTCTTAAATGTGGAGACGGTGTCTGCCTCCCGGACCGTAACAGGAAGATGATTCCACAGGAGAGGAGCCTGATAGCTGAAGGCTCTGGCTCCTGATCTACTTTTGGAGACTTTAGGGACCACGAGTAACCCTGCGTTCTCAGAGCGCAGTGTTCTGGTGGGATAATATGGCACTATGAGCTCTCTAAGATATGACGGAGCTTGACCATTTAGAGCTTTATAAGTTAACAGTAGGATTTTAAATTCAATTCTGGATTTTACAGGGAGCCAGTGCAGAGAAGCTAAAACAGGAGAAATATGATCTCGTTTCTTAGTTCCTGTTAGTACACGTGCTGCTGCATTCTGAATTAGCTGGAGAGTTTTTAAGGACTTACTAGAGCTACCTGATAATAGAGAGTTACAGTAATCCAGCCTTGAGGTAACAAAAGCGTGGACCAATTTTTCTGCATCTTTTCGGGTCAGGATAGGCCTAATTTTCACAATATTACGCAGATGAAAAAATGCAGTCCGTGAGGTTTGTTTTAAATGAGAATTAAAAGACAAATTTTGATCAAATATTATTCCGAGGTTTCTTACGGTAGTGCTAGAGGCCAGAGCAATGCCATCTAGAGAAACTATGTCATCAGATAAAGAGTCTCTGAGTTGTTTGGGGCCAAGAACAATAACTTCAGTTTTGTCTGAATTTAACATCAGGAAATTGGTGCTCATCCAGGTTTTTATGTGTTTAAGGCAGTTATGGAGTTTAGTTAATTGATTACTTTCTTCTGGCTTCATCGATAAATACAACTGTGTATCATCCGCATAACAATGGAAATTTACAGAGTGATTTCTAATGATGTTACCTAAAGGAAGCATATATAGAGTAAATAGGATTGGTCCGAGCACAGAACCTTGCGGAACTCCAAAACAAACTTTAGTACGTAAGGATGATTCATTATGAACGTCAACAAACTGAAAACGATCAGATAAATAAGATTTAAACCAGCTTAGTGCAGAACCTTTTAGGCCAATTAAATGTTCCAGTCTCTGTACCAGAATTTGATGGTCAAAACATCAAACCCTTAATTACACAACACCTCTGACGTCCAGACTCAGACTTCCTGTCTGATGATTAGACCTGATGTTCTGATTTACCTGCAGACGTCTGGACTCTGACTCAGAGTCTGTGAGAAGCTCAGATCTGAATCATCAGGATTAAATCTGATCCTGAGACATTCCTACAGGTCTCAGGGGTTCTCGAGGGGGGCAGTTAGAGTCCATCAGAGTATGTTTAAATCCTGGACTTGAGTCTTCCTGTTGGTCAGAGCAGAGAGGTCAGAGGTCACAGAACTTCACGCTGTTCGTCGAGTGTTGTTTCAACACTTCCTCACACTGATCATTAATGTGATCTGAGGAGGACACACTGCAGCGCTCTGACTGACAGGAAGTGCCACAACACACACACACACACACACACACACACACGCACACACACACACAAATCCTTCCAGTAAGACTCGGTGCTGTCCTCCCCCACAGAGACAGAAACAAACAGTGTTTCTCTTCACTGACTCTGAATCAGTTTGTCTTGTTCTGTCAGGACTTCATAAAGTTAAAGACTCAATACAGGAACATTAACTCCTTTAAACTTCATCACACGCCCGCTGACGGACATTAAATCACAGGATGTCCTCACTCAAGAATGGAGAACAAGTGAGACGGAAAGAAAAGGTGGTGACTCGGTATGTTTCCATTTGAAGCCGTCATAAAGTCTGTTCCTCAATAACTCTACAAGTTATTATATTATTTCATGTTTCGTTCAAACCCAACGTGATGCCAATTTTCACGTCACTTTACGCAAGTTTGAATGCCAGAATATTTTCTGTTGACTCTCGTCATACATCGCTGACTCGATGAATGAATGAATGAACTTCCACCAGTACGTCCTCAGCATCATACGTCCCTGGAGGATCTCAATGCCAATTGGCTATCATGGTGCAAATTAGTCGCTGAAGTTCAGATTTTTCAACTCTTGCAAATAAACTTTTGACGCGAAATCGAGCAACTCGCTTCATTCACGCTGCTTAATTAGCGTACTTCACATCCATCGCGCCGCCCAGCAAGAATTTGTGTCATGTCTTTCAAAAACACAAATCATCAAATGATTATAAATCATAAAACGATCAACAGGATGTCACTGAAACAGGAAGTGATGTCGATGATCTCCCCTGGTTGTTCTGCTCCTTGTTAACATCTCTGTTCTGATGTTTTTCACCAGCGTTCCCATCTGATCCGGTTCTGGAGGATCCTGGTCCAGTCCTTCTGGGTCAGGAGGCGGTCCTTCATTGTAACGTAAGCAGCGTCTTCTCAGCCAATCAGATGAGGATCCTGTGGCTGTCGGGGAACATGACACTGATGTCAGAGTCCTTCAGGTTCTCCGGTTCCCTACAGAATGTCTCGTCTGTTCTTCAGCACCTGGTCCAGGAGGATCAGCAGGTTCTGACTTGCAGGGCAGAGCTGCTGATGGAGGACGGAGACGTGTGGAGGTCCAGGACGACCAGCATCCCCCTGCAGGTCCACTGTGAGTGTCTGAGGACATGTCGACTTCCTGTTAAAGACTAAAGGCTTTTATTGCGAAGCAGCTGCAGGAAGTGTTGATTTAGGTTTCGATAATCTCAGGTTCAGGTTTTAATAATCTCAGGTTCAGGTTTTGATAATCCCAGGTTAAGGTTTTAATAATCCCAGGTTCAGGTTTTGATAATCCTAGGTTCAGGTTTTGATAATCCCAGGTTAAGATTTTAATAATCCCAGGTTCAGGTTTTGATAATCTCAGTCCTAGTCTGTGTGTGTCTCAGATCCTCCGAGGAGAACCTCCCTCTCAGTGAGTCCAGGTGAGCAGGTGATGGAGGGTCAGCAGGTGACCTTTACCTGCCACTCAGAGGGAGCTCCGCCCACCACACTGGTGCTGCGGCGGGATGGGGCGGAGCTTCAGAGGACTGATCCCACCTCCCCATCACTCTCCTTCAGCCTTTCGTCAGTCCAGCTGGAAGACTCTGCCCACTACCAGTGTGAAGCCTCCAACCAGTATGGGTCCCAGTTGGTCACCAGCTCAGTCACCATCACAGGTACTGGTTTACTTTGACTTCTTTGACTCCAGGTCCTCCTTCACCTCATCCATATGACCCTGGGGTGGAGTGATGATGTTACACTGTGAGGCTAAAAACACTGAAGACTGTAGTGGGCCGAGGACAGAGCCCTGTGGGACTCCATATAAAGACTTGTGCTGTTTGTGATGTTGCTGTTTCCTTGTTGTGGCGGACATTATCTGACGAGTTGACCTCTCACTCCTTCACATGACGCTGTGGACAGAAATAATCTCTGACTCTACAGCTGAGTCATGTGTCCGACACTCAGAGCCTCCCGCTGTTGTCAGACGCTGACAGAGACCAGGGCCTCAGCTATAGATTATTTTCATGTTTGTTCAATATTTTCTTGATTAATCGATGAGTTGTTCAGTCAGTAAATGTCAGTCAGTGTTTCTCAAAGCCCCGTACGACGTCCTCAGATGTTTGTCTTCAAACCAAAACTCTTCAGTTTACAGAATATTTGCAACAGAAATTATTCACATTTAAAAAACTTGAACCAGAATTTTGACCGTTTTTTTTTTTTTTTAATTAAGAAACTACTATACTAAAAAACTAAAATACTCGGACTGATTAATCAACTATAGAATTAGTTGGCGATTAATTTCATATGTGATAACTAACGAATGACTGATTGGAGCTGGTGTGGACTCTGTGAGTCTCAGTGACGAGACATGACGTCCATTTTACTGCCCGTCCAAGATGTTTTGTGGTGTGATGACAGCTGAGCTGTTTGAGACTTTGTGATGACGCTTTGGTTTAAAAATGTTTTTTAAATGGTGTATGACGGTGAATCTTTCAGTTTGTCTGAAAAACAACATGTCTGCAACGTTCCTTAAAATAAACTAACAGGATACAAAGTTTATCAGAACAAGAAGTGGACAGGGTCCAGGATCAGGTGAGGACGTGTCGACTGAAGGTCAACGGGTTCAACTCAGCAGCTTCACAACATCACCTCCCAAATATCACTGTTTTTATAACTTTAATGTTTATTAGCAGCCACAGCGAGGCTGTTAGACTCAGCTGAACCACTGTTGCTGCTAAAACTTAAACTAAAGCAGGTTTGAACAGAAACATTTTAGTGAAGTGAAATAAAACCAGACTTTTTTTTTTTAATATATTTTTTGGGGCATTTATAGCCTTTAATGGATAGTACAGACAAGTGTGAAAGGGAGAGAGAGAGAGAGGGAGTGACATGCAGCAAAGGGCCACAGGCTGGAGTCGAGCCCGGGCCGCTGCAGCAACAGCCTTGTACATGGGGCGCCTGCTCTACCACTAAGCCACTGACGCCCCAATAAAACCAGACTTTAGTAAAAACAAAAACAAAAATGATTTTGTGCTCTGACAAAAATAAAATGAACTAAATTTAAAAATGAAAGTAAACAGGAAACGTATTTTGTTTGTCTCAAATCAAAATGAAAATGACTGAATAACTGTAATGTGACATGTTAAAGTTCACCACAGTTTGACCTTTGACCCTGACTGTTTGTTTTCCCTCTATGTTTTCTCTTTTCAATAAACAAACATCAGTGTGAGAGGAACGTCAGTGTGTCTGCACCGACGACATCGGCCTGATAAAAATAATGTTATAGTTTGAGAAGAAGCAGTCGGAGCTGAGTCAGCACGTCGACCGTTCCAAATGTCACTGAGGTTAAAATCAGTGGTCAGACTGCTCAGAGCGAGGACAGACGGAAAAACAGAAAAGAGCACATTCAGATGTTCACCAGCTCCAACCCCGTCACTGTAAAGTCACTGTAACCTCACTGTGATGTCACTAAGAGCTCCACAGCTGTGATCTGATGTGTGAGCTCTGTAACGAACACTGTGACAGGTTGTTACCACGATGAAGACAAACAGCTGACAGACTGACTCAGTGTTGTCTGTTGTTAGATGAGGAGTGTGATGTTAGAACATGATGAAGACAAACAGTCTGACACACGTCCTCCCAGTTGTCTCTTCATCTCAGGACGAGGACGCTGGTGTTTGTCCAGCACTCTGCTGTTTAATCTCGAGTCTTCACAGAGACGTTGTTGTGAGTTTCCGTTCAGACTCCCTGCGACTGTTTGACAGCATGAACCTCCTCCTCCTCACTCTCTGACAGTCCTACTACAGGAAACTGAAAACTGTCTTCATCCTTTAAACTACACACATCTGAAAAACACATCTCTGCAGTTCAGCAGCTGTTTCAGATTCAGTCTTTGGATGAAAATGTTGCAAAGTTTCAGTCACATGTTAGTCCTGATGTTTTCCATCTGTTTTAATCTTTAAACTAATCCAGTGAGACGGATTTATGTATCAGAAATTAGACTCGAGGTTGAGTGGAGTCCTGCGGGGTGAAGCTGTGAAGTCCGGCGGCCGCTGGCTGTGAGCGGAGCTAACTGCTAACAGCTAACTGCTTACAGCTAACTGCTAACAGCTAGCTGCTAACAGCCACCGCTGCAACTAACAAACTCCACAAATCCATTCAGCAGCTCCACCATCCACAGTCAGAAACACACGGCTGATTATTTACTGCTGAATTACAGCTCACAACTCGCACCAACCCAAACATCCTGGTGCAGACTATTTACTGGAGTTTACAGCCTGTCGCTCATCAGGCATCTGAAGATCATTACAAGCTGTCAGTGTCCGACAGTCCACCACCAACATTTACATCACGTCTCATCAACAGAAATCAAACACAGATTTCACGTTAGTTTTTATTATCAAGATCTATTTTTAGCTCGTCGTCGTCTCGTTTTCGTCGTTGGAAAAAAGTTGTTTTCACCAAAAATGAACATTGCATTTGAGAGGATGAGAGCAGGACAATACTATTAGAGGCAGACAGAGAATACCGGTGACGGTTACAGTGGACGCTGCTTACCGTCCTCTGCGACGCAGTTTACAACCAGATGTTACGTAGTTCCGTCACACGAGAAGAAAACAGTGATCCTGACCATCAGTGGGATAATTACAGAAACACAAAATCATTTTATTCAGTTTATTTCATTCTTTGTAAACAATGTGACATCACCGTCACATCATGTCATCATGAATGTTTGGTTTAACCGTCAGACTGTTTGTTTGTTTGTTTGTTTGTTTGTTTGTGTGCCATCCAGAAGGTGTTTTCTATCTGTTTGATTGACATTATGCTTCTTCACTTCCAGAACATTTAGTCAACATGTTTTGTCTCTTTAAACAGGGATCAGACTGTACCTAGCAAGCATTTTTTGGTTTAAAAACGTCTAGTAGCCGTCTACATGAAGACCTGACGTCTAGGCTAAATCACGTCCAAAAAATGGAGATAAACATATTTTAATTACTGTTGACTCTCCATACGTGATTGAATATCATACTGCACGCCATCTGCAATGGCGAAAATTACATTTAATCAATTTCAAAATTAAATCGGCTAGATTTGGGTTACATGTAGCTAGACTAAATCTAGCCAATACGTTTAAATCACGACTATTGCTTGCTGGGTAGAGTCAGGTGGAATGAAAACACCATTGAAACAGTATTTTTCTACACACCTATAAACTGTCTTCTGACAGGTTGAGTTATGAGCACACACTCACTGATCATCAGTTCATCCCTGTTTTTCAGAGGACAGAGGGACGTCTCTGAGGACAAGTGTGATCTGTGATATTGGCTTTATCAATAAAACTGGATTCAATTTGAAAGTCTCTAAATCTTGAACAGCTCATGTGAGACACCTGTGAGACACCTGTGAGATACCTGGGACTGTCTCCAGGCTGACTGTAATCTCTGACCGATCCATCTCACTGTGAAGAAGCAGAAAAATAACTTTATTTTCTTCCTCACTGCACAAAAGCCCACTGACACCCACCAACATCTGGATTTTAGTGTCATGAGAAAGGTCACAGTCTTCATTCACACCCGGGTCACATGACTCTGCAGTAGTCAGGGGGGCGGAGGATTCAACAGCTCCGGCTCTGATCGGCTTCGATATAAACACGACACCCCTGTCAACACGCTAATTTTAGCTCCTTCACTGGAGAGATGCAGTGACATCATCACAATAGTCTCCGCCCACCAGCCTCAGACCGATCCAAACCAGTCTGTGCTGAGTTTCACAGAGAGACTGACTCAGTGGAAACCAGTGTAACGTTCTCACAGGCCTCCATGCTGCTCTCAGGCCTGTCTGTGATGTCCAAGGTGACGCAGCAGGAAAGATGAACTGAAACAGCATTTGCTGCAGCGCAGCGTACACAGCTCTGCACAGCTCTGCACAGCTCTGCACAGCTAACCTTATCACCTGTTTTTAACAGGTTTTCCTGTGTTTAAAAAAAACCCTGCGGAGACGCACAGACGTTTGTGGGAAAGGACGTAAATCTGCATCACTGAGCCTCACTGACCTCATTGAGCCTCACTGACCTCACTGAGCCTCACTGACCTCACTGAGCTTCACTAACCTCACTGAGCCTCACTGACCTCACTGAGCTTCACTGACCTCACTGAGCCTCACTGACCTCACTGAGCCTCACTGAGCTTCACTAACCTCACTGAGCCGCACTGACCTCACTGAGCTTCACTGACCTCACTGAGCCTCACTAACCTCACTGAGCCTCACCGACCTCACTGAGTCTCACTGACCTCACTGTGCCTCACCGACCTCACTGAGCTTCACTGACCTCACTGAGCCTCACTGACCTCACTGACCTCACTGAGCCTCACTAACAAATAGAGTCCAGGCGCCGCTCTGATTTAATCTGTGTTCCTTTCCGTCTTTATGTTCTGATCCACGTCGCTCTGTGTGAATCATGTGATCACTTCCTTTTTTCGACTTTAACCTTTTTCTTTTGGTCCAGCTCCTCCGAGGAACACCACGGTCCTCGTCCTGCCGTCTACGGTGGTCCAGGAGGGACAAAATGTCACCGTCTGCTGCCAGACCATCAGCTTTCCGCCATCAGCCGTGATCCTGAAGAAGCTGACCAATGGGACAGAGCTATATTCCACGAACGGCACCTTCCTATTGGTCAATGTCACGGCCAAAGACTCTGGGCTTTACCAGGTCAACGTGACCAACCAGCTCGGATACCAGGTCAAAGTGTTCAGCATCAGTGTCAGAGGTCAGTCGCACCAGTTCCACCAGTTCCACCAGTTTACCCTCCAGTCTCTGTCTGATGGGAAAATGGTTGTTGTAACTTCCGGTTTAAGAAACTGATGTGTTTTAATTTTTCATTCTGAAGTTTTTGTCTTGGTGGTTTCACACAGAGAGAAGCTCCAGTCCTCCTCCCAGTCTGAGTGCTGTCATCGTCCCAGTCATCTGCGTCGCCGCCGGGCTCGCAGCTGCCGCTCTGCTCCTGGACTACCTGAGGAGGTCCAGAAAGAAAGGCTTCTACCAGCTGCCGCAGTCTGCCCCCCCTTCAGCCTAAAGCTAACCCTGGGCTACCACTTCCCACCATGTGGCCGCCATCTCCCACCTTGTGGCTACCACTTCCCACCATGTGGCCACCATCTCCCACCATGTGGCCGCCATCTCCCACCATGTGGCCGCCATCTCCCACCATGTGGCCGCCATCTCCCACCTTGTGGCCGCCATCTCCCACCATGTGGCCGCCATCTCCCACCTTGTGGCTACCACTTCCCACCATGTGGCCACCATCTCCCACCATGTGGCCGCCATCTCCCACCATGTGGCCGCCATCTCCCACCTTGTGGCCGCCATCTCCCACCATGTGGCCGCCATCTCCCACCTTGTGGCCGCCATCTCCCACCATGTGGCCGCCATCTCCCACCTTGTGGCCGCCATCTCCCACCATGTGGCCGCCATCTCCCACCTTGTGGCCGCCATCTCCCACCATGTGGCCGCCATCTCCCACCTTGTGGCCGCCATCTCCCACCATGTGGCCGCCATCTCCCACCTTGTGGCCGCCATCTCCCACCATGTGGCCGCCATCTCCCACCTTGTGGCCGCCATCTCCCACCATGTGGCCGCCATCTCCCACCTTGTGGCCGCCATCTCCCACCATGTGGCCGCCATCTCCCACCTTGTGGCCGCCATCTCCCACCATGTGGCCACCACTTCCCACCATGTGGCCGCCATCTCCCACCATGTGGCCGCCATCTCCCACTTTGTGGCTACCATCTCCCACCATGTGGCCACCATCTCCCACCTTGTGGCTACCATCTCCCACCTTGTGGCTACCATCTCCCACCTTGTGGCTACCATCTCCCACCATGTGGCTACAGCCTCCCAACATGTGGCTACCATCTCCCACCATGTGGCCGCCATCTCCCAACATGTGGCTACCATCTCCCACCATGTGGCCGCCATCTCCCACCTTGTGGCTACCATCTCCCACCATGTGGCCACCATCTCCCACCTTGTGGCTACCATCTCCCACCATGTGGCTACCATCTCCCACCTTGTGGCTACCATCTCCCACCATGTGGCTACCGCCTCCCAACATGTGGCTACCATCTCCCACCATGTGGCCGCCATCTCCCAACATGTGGCTACCATCTCCCACCATGTGGCCGCCATCTCCCACCTTGTGGCTACCATCTCCCACCATGTGGCCACCATCTCCCACCTTGTGGCTACCATCTCCCACCTTGTGGCCACCATCTCCCACCTTGTGGCTACCATCTCCCACCATGTGGCTACCGCCTCCCAACATGTGGCTACCATCTCCCACCATGTGGCCGCCATCTCCCAACATGTGGCTACCATCTCCCACCATGTGGCCACCATCTCCCACCATGTGGCTACCATCTCCCACCATGTGGCCACCATCTCCCACCATGTGGCTACCATCTCCCACCATGTGGCCACCATCTCCCACCATGTGGCTACCATCTCCCACCATGTGGCCACCATCTCCCACCATGTGGCTACCATCTCCTACCATGTGGCCACCATCTCCCAACATGTGGCTACAGCCTCCCAACATGTGGCCACCATCTCCCAACATGTGGCTACCATCTCCTACCATGTGGCCACCATCTCCCACCATGTGGCCACCATCTCCCACCATGTGGCCACCATCTCCCAACATGTGGCTACCATCTCCTACCATGTGGCCACCATCTCCCACCATGTGGCCACCATCTCCCACCATGTGGCCACCATCTCCCAACATGTGGTTACCACCTTTTTCGGCATGGGATTTTAATATCTCCACATGACTATCATGTTCCAGTATTTGGCTACCATATCTATAATAATCCATAACTTTGCTTCCATGTCTCAACATCAGGCTACTTAATTCCAACACATCGTTGCATTAGTCCAGGACGTCTGTTCTATTCAGTGCTTGGCTAGCACGTCCCAACATGTGGCTACTTTATAACGAGGACATGATCAGCAGTGAGGTTCATTTCTAAGCGCTGCACATTAGTGTTTGTGACTCAGTGACTGTTCCTCAGCTGTGGACTGTGTGTTGAGTGAACTGTCCCTTTAACTGAGGATCAAACAGGAAGTAGAAACGTGTCTCTGACTCGTGTTTTTGGCTCCTGGTGTGTCAGAAAATTCTCCCCGTGACTCCTGAAGGTTTTTAATAATGACTGGAGGAAGGTTTGTTTCTGTTTGAGCCTCAGGGTCCTCAGATGTCTGCTGGTTCGGTACTCGTGTGTCTCCAGTTCTGACGTTCTGCACACAGAACCTGGTGTTTGTGTTATGTTGAATTATGGGATGGATTTCTGACGTGGGCTGAATGTAGATTTGTTTCTCACTCTGTGCTTTTATTAAAGATATTTATTTCTTCACTGTGTTGTTGGAATGTTTGTGGGAGTTTCCTGCAGCCGATCTTTCTCTTTCACTTCTGTCTCATTCACCGTTTACTGGAAGTCTGCAGGAGGTCTCAGCCGTAACCATGGTGATGCCTCAGCTGCTGTTAAAGCCATCAGTCCTCCTGAAGATGAACAGACGGATTCTGTTTGTGTTTCACAGAAACTTTAACACCTTCAGACCCTCCTCTGCAAACACTCTCACTCTGCTGCTGCTGTGAGGCTGAAGACACCACGCTGCCGAGACCAAACCAAACCCATTTACAGTCAGCGCTCCTTTTCACACAGAAGTGGCGCTACAGAGTCTTTATGCCTCCTTTACATGTTTACACAGAACCCAACGATGGCGGCATCATGTGGCTCCAGAGTGTGATGTCAGACAACATGATGACATCACAGACTCAAAAGAGGCGTGACATGAAACGCAACACAATAACATATCATATGATAACAAACAATAACGGTGTGTTATTTGCCACCTTGAACAGGAAGTATAATAGATGCTAAAGTGTTTGTCGTGACGGTGAAGGTCATGAGAGGTCATTAGAGGTCATGAGAGGTCATGGACTCTGGCAAGGCAAGGCAATGTTATTAATATAGCACCATTCATACACAAGGCAATTCAATGTGCTTTACAAGAGAAATACATTAAAATAAAACATTAAAGGAACAACAGATCATTAAAAACAAAAGCTAAAAGCAGGACAATAAATAGTTAAAACAGTGCAGAAAATGCATTTAAAAAGCAAACATAAAGCAACAGCAGACAAATATAAAAACAATAGCTACAGATTATCCTAACAATAAGCTACATATCTAGTTCACTGGTAAGCTGCAGTAAATAGTGATGTTTTAAGCCCTGATTTAAATGAGTTGACAGTTTCAGCCGACCTCAGATATTCTGGAAGTTTGTTCCACAGGCGGGGAGCATAGAAACTAAAGGCTGCTTCACCTTGTTTGGTTTTGATCCTGGGAACACTGAGTAAACCTGTTCCAGATGATCTGAGGGGTCTGGATGCTTCATAACGTACAAGTATATCAGAGATGTATTTAGGCCCGAGACCATTTAGTGCTTAAGTAACAAGATCAGCAGCGTTCTGGACGAGCTGCAGTTGTCTGATTGATTTTTTACTCAGGCCTGTGAAGACACCGTTACAATAGTCCAGCCTGCTGAAAATGAAAGCATGAACAAGTTTTTCTGTATCTTGTTTAGACAGAAATTCTTTTATTCTTGCTATGTTTTTAAGGTGGTAGTAGGCTGATTTAGTAATTGTCTTAATGTGACTATTGAAATTTAGGTCTGAGTCCAGAACTACACCAAGATTTCTGGCTTGATTTGTAGGTTTTAGTGTCATGGCGTCAAGCTGAGCACTGACTATTGATCTTTGTTCTTTGGGGCCAAAAACAACCATCTCAGTTTTGTCTGTGTTTAGTTGTAGAAAATTCTGGCACATCCACGTATTGATTTCGTCAATGCACTTATTTAGCAGAGGGCGTTGTGATGAATGTTTTCAAACCTGAGACCCAGAAGTGTCCCGTCTCCTCTGCACTAATTAGTTTAATTTATTAGATTAATTTGTGAATGAGTCTGAAGCGTAAACATGTTTCCTGTTTTATCACAGTCGGTCTGAAACCTGCGTCTCTGCTGACGATTAACGTCTTCAGGTTGTGACATCAGGTGACCAAAGTTAAATGTCAGGCCGGCGCCTAACATCAACATCTGTTTAATATGAAACACTGATGAAGGGTGACGTTATATTTTCTTGCTGTCGGGTCTGTGTCCACACAGTGTTTTTTTCTCAGCAGCATTATCTTTATTCAGTTGTTCGGAGTGTGTGTGTGTGTGTGTGTGTGTGTGTGTGGGTGTATGTGTGTGCGGCCGTGTGGAGACTAGGTGCCACAGAGCTCCGCCTTCTTTGTGCGGCCACTCACAGCACTTCTAGTTGAAAATCTCATAACTTTTCAGAAAGGCATTGATGACATCACTGCTGAGAGTGTTGTACTTTTATCACCGTTAGCTTCATAATGTAGCGTCGTATTAGCTATCTGGCTAATGTTAGTGTTGTCATAGAAACAAAACCCACACCCAGTACATCATTAAAAAAAGCCCTGACATGCTTTTCTGCTGAAAAATATATTTTAAAAGAAAACAAACAAAGCAGCGTGTGGACACGCGTCCTTAACAGAATAACAGACCTTTAAACAAGGACATTTTGAAAAGCTACAACTGTACACGGTGCAAGTTTAAAGGTACAAACAAGTGACTACACAGAAACAAACCTGTACGACTGAACGAAGTCTTGTTAGCACACACACGTTAACACAACCAAACACTGTAACAGAGCCACGAGCCTCTGCGTCCACGCGCGCCGCCATCTTTACACTTCCTGTATTGTGGACAGTCAGACTTCCATGTCCTCTGCTAAATAAAGCAGGTACAGGTGCACCTGTATAAATACTGTGAACGTATCAAAGCGCTCCGTCCACAGAGAAACACACACAGCCTCTGAACGAGCGCTCAGGATTTCTGTGAATTTGTGATGTCACAACTTTACTGTGCAGACTGAAAGAGAAACATCTGAATGTTTCCTGTCGCGTCCACTGAATATGAGTCAGAGAAGAAAGAACTCCACCGTCCTGTTAACTTCAATAAACTGTATCAGATAAATTACGTTTCGGTCGTCAGACCTTCATCAGCTGACAGGAAGTAAACATGGAGCCAAGCTGTTGCCTAGCAACATAACTCCAGTGGAAGCTCCTATAAAGAGTGTTTGAGACAGACGGTGGTGACAGGTGTGTTCAGGCAGACAGGTGAGAAAATCATCTGTTGTTTGAACATTAAAACGTGTAAACATGTTCTACTAAGAACCCAAAACACAGGAACGAACCTGAGTGTGAGCAGAACCTTTAAAGGGGCAAAAAGCAAAATTGTTTCACCGCTAGGTTTGCTGTTGTGCACTGCCTGTAGACCAAAACAAAGTGTGTCATGAGCCACTCCTCCCTCTACCTCTGCCCTCCACCCCCCCCACTCGCCTCGTCTACCGCAGCACCTCCACGGACTATTACATCCAGACGGTCCCGGTGTTTCCTCCGCAGGCTCCACTTCACTCAGCTGCCCGATAAACCCGCTGCTTCTTCCCACTTTAACCTGAATAACAAACCAGGGCTCGGTGCTCCGGTTGGATCCAAACGGAGAGCCGGGGCTAGCTCAGAGACTAGCGGAGGCTAAGAAGAAGGAGGGGGAGGAGAAGAAGAAGAAGAAGAAGGAGGAGGAGGAGGAGGAGGAGAAGGAGAAGAAGAAGAAGGAGAAGGAGGAGGAGGAGGAGGAGGAGGAGGAGAAGGAGAAGAAGAAGGAGGAGAAGAAGAAGGAGAAGCAGGAGGAGGAGGAGAAGGAGAAGAAGAAGGAGGAGGAGAAGAAGAAGAAGAAGGAGGAGGAGAAGAAGAAGAAGAAGGAGGAGGAGGAGGAGGAGAAGGAGAAGAAGAAGAAGGAGGAGGAGAAGGAGGAGGAGGAGGAGAAGAAGAAGGAGGAGAAGAAGAAGAAGGAGAAGGAGGAGGAGGAGAAGGAGAAGAAGGAGGAGGAGAAGGAGAAGAAGAAGGAGGAGAAGAAGAAGAAAGAGAAGGAGGAGGAGGAGAATGAGAAGAAGGAGGAGGAGAAGGAGAAGAAGGAGGAGGAGAAGGAGAAGAAGAAGGAGGAGAAGAAGAAGAAAGAGAAGGAGGAGGAGGAGAATGAGAAGAAGGAGGAGGAGAAGGAGAAGAAGGAGGAGGAGAAGGAGGAGAAGAAGAAGAAAGAGAAGGAGGAGGAGGAGAATGAGAAGAAGGAGGAGGAGAAGGAGAAGAAGAAGGAGGAGGCGGAGAAGGAGAAGAAGAAGGAGAAGAAGAAAGAGAAGGAGGAGCAGAAAGAGGAGGAGAAGAAGAAAGAGAAGGAGAAGAAGAAGGAGAAGAAGAAAGAAAAGGAGGAGGAGAAGAAGAAAGAGAAGGAGGAGGAGGAAGAGGAGGAGAAGCACGACTCGAATGAATCTGGTCCAGAAACACTGGACGCTCTGATCCTCATTCACACCTCACATTTGAAGCCCTCCTGTTTCCATGACGACGAGCTGAGGAGCCAATGAGCTTTGTGTCAGAGACAAAAACCAAAAGAACATTTGATTCACCCTGTTAACAGCTGAGAGGGAGCCAGGAATTAGACTGATCCCACTGCCAGGACCATAGTGTTCCTGAGTCTCTTCACATGCAAATATTTAAAATCTGTCAGCGTTTGACTGTTTCATCGTTTCACTCATCACACAAAGAAAAAACTAAACTAATAATCAGCTGATAAACCAATAATAAACACGACCTCATCATATGAGCACAA